CAACCTTTGACCAGAAGTGTATATAACAGTGATTTAGTTTAATATTAGACTAACTTTCATGCATCATCATTTCAGTATGCAGGAGTGATAGCTTAATTGTAGCATGTTTGCAGCATTATTTGCATTTCAACACTTTAGCCACCTCCCAATTAAGAGATTCTATTGATATTTGGGGGAAAATGTAAACAGAACAAAAAGTATTGGGTTTTTTTACTTTTTGTTTACCACAGAGCGCAACAGTTTGAAAAACGCCACTAATTTTCCTCATAGAGAAACGTGCTAAAACCTGGAGTTCCCAATATAGGCATGATGCAGACTATTTGACTTCTAATTAGAAGCATCAAATGTACAACTTTTCCTCCTAATTCCAAATGTAGTCAATTAGCCAAGACATGTTTGGTGTCTGAAGTTTGCCGTTTAAGAGTTACGAAGCTAATGTTGCTAACAAGCAGTGGAAGCTTACATGCTACCAATCAGCATGGTGCTGTGTGGCTAAGTCATCACAAGCTAGAATTAAACTGTGACAAATTCTCACATAATCTCAACCTGAATGTTTTAGAAAGCAAGTAAAGAGAAGCCCCGCCCCCTTTTCACCAATAGCGTATTGTCTATCCGCATCACCTCTGCAAACAGTAAATTTAACCAACATGTTGATATATTGTTGAAGTACAATCTTACTTGTAATCTTACTTGCATCTTTTTTAAGAGTGTGTAACTACTTGTAATCAATAAGTTGCCAAAAAAATTATATGTTTGTTCAGACAGTTTCATAATTCCAGCCTTTCTTAACTAGCCTGATGCTAAGCTCTGAGATCACCAGTCAGGTTTTCAGTCACTAAAAATTTGACTATCTATATAGATAAAAGTGTGTTATATAGTGTCAGAAACCACATAACCTGGTCTATTACAGATACTGAACACCTCCACACTGTTTGGGGCGACTTTGTGATGTGATAATTTAGGCATGAAGTTAGCACCACGCTAATTGGTGCTGGCATTAAACAGCAGGCTTATTGTTCACTTATGAATCTGAATTTAGTGACTAAATTGTAGCAACATGTTTAAGGGTGTAAAGGTATGGCTGGTGGTTTATTCTGAAAACTTTCTATTTAGAGTAGTTAGACTGTTTTTCATGTAGTTAGCAATGCAGTTAATTCCTAGAATGGCTTCTTAAGCTGATTAAGGCATGTGGATAATGCTAACTGGTGTGCTAGTAACCTGTCTAGATGCGGTAGCCTAGTAGTTCCGGTGTAAAACTAAAGCAGCAAGCTTCAGACACCAAATACATCTTGGCTGATGAACTATGTTTGGCTCAAAAGGTAAATTATGATTTGATTTGTGTTCCTAAATCATCACAAGCCATGTGGAGTTGTTCAGTAACCTCCAACAGACTTTTTTCAGACAAGGTATGTTAGCATAGCTAAAAACAGTAGAAGCAGACACTTTTAGTGGGTAAAAGCATGCAGCAGATTAGAGTTTGAACACCACTCGGGGAAGAACACCATGAACCACCAATAGTAGTCCTTGGGCAAGACTCCTAATAATGCATTTGCAAATATTGTAAATATAAGTCTTTCTGGGTAATAGCATCAGCCAAATGCACAAATGAAGCCTGACGTTTGTGTTTTTGTCCATTTGTATGGTTACTAAGAACCAAATGCTTAACGAAAGAAGGTACATTATAACATCTAGTCCAACAAGAAGATGGTAATGCAACTCTGAGGAGAAAAGATCATGGCTTAACTCTGCTTGGTGCTGCTTCATCAGCGGCTGTTCAATGTATTGAGCAGATATTAAATCAACTGCAGTCCAGAAACCGCATTACATCAGTGATAGATTTTTGGTCCAGAGGTAAACGAGGTATTAATAGTATGTAGGACAGAGACAAAAAGCTGAGTGTTTTTTAAATATATGGTGTAACATCTGGCAGGGTCTGAGCATGTGTGCGTTGGGACCGCTACTGCCAGCCATATTAGTCATTCACAGGCCTGCCAGGACAGTAAATGTTAACCACACACTATATGTTCCCCAGCATTGAGCTTTGGAGCAGTGGAGCTGCGTTCTCTGGAGTGATGGATTCAGAACTGACCATCCAACATCAGTACCTGACCTTACTAATGCTCAGTCAAATCCTCCTTAGAAGAGTAGAGGCTGTTACTGCACCAAACCATCTTGATTTCAGAAGAAACGTTGAACAAGCAGGTGTCTTCACACTTCTGGACACATATGTTCACCGGAATCTTCTCCCAGGTCCTGGCAGGTGGGCGAAAAAACCTGTCAGTGAATGAAGCATCAGTTTAGTTCATTGTAATTATGGGAAATAAATCAACCAGGCAATTAAATGGATGGAACTTTAGCAGAATGAGCCGTTCCTGTTATTTGTTTCACTGCTCTGCCTGTTCCTCACCCTCCTCCTCACGCCTCTTTTTGTCTTCCACACCTCCCTTTCGATCCTCTCGTCCTCAAAGCAGAACAAAAGCCGTGGTGGTAAAGATGTTACGCCCACAATAAAGCCCCCTTCCAGACCATTACTCTGGCTCTAACATATTAGCAGTACATAAACTGATTTGTTTAAAGATTTGCGGCTTTGGGAACTCAGCAGTCGCTGGAAATGTCATTTAAAAAGTTGTGCTTGAGCCGTGGGCCGCTCACACACACTCACACACACACATACTCTCACACACACTCACACACTCACACACACTCATACACACTCACGCTCCAATCTCATGGTGTTCTGAATCTCAGCAAATGAGTTCAAATTGTAATATTTCTAAAATTGCGTTAAAATGAATGTAGCACATCACAAACTGATTAATATAAATAGTTGAACTGTAAATAATAAAAATAATATATTTTCTCTAAACAGGTTGAGTAGAAATGTGTATGTACTGGTAGATACATTTATAATAATAATAATAATAATAATAATAATAATAATAATAATAATAATAACACCACCCATGTCTTTTTCAACCCTTCCTGCTGCCTAAACTGTGAAGAAATAAGCTCCCTCTCACTTTATGTTCAGGTGCATACATTAATAACCACTAAAACAAGGTTGAGTTCTGTAAAATGTTGTGTTTATAGCACTCTGCACCTCATTACTGCTGATTTTAGGCTGATGGTTGTTTAATTAAGCCTCTATAAACAGACTGTTAGCACCTCCACATCGTTTCTGAAATAAACACTCACACACCTCTTTACACTTCTCACTAAAAATCTGATAAATTTGTGATTTCATGCTGCAGGACTCTGCCAGGTTTACAGATGAGTTCAATTGAAATGTAAAGGAATAAAATAGAAAAAGAAAACAAGACAAGAGAGCAGACACCTGCTACCTATCTATCTGTCTATCCATATATATATATATATATATATATATATATATATATATATATATATATATATGTATGTATGTATATGGATAGACAGATGATGATGGAGGGATGATTGAGGGATGCTGATGGAGGCGTGGATGGATGAAGAGCTCGTGTATCTCATGGAGCTCATGATGCAGCGCCGCTCTGATTAAAGTACTGAGATTAAAGCGGAGGAGGAGCTTTTAACACTCATTAGAGCGAAGCAGAGCGCGCGCACTGAGCAGTTTACATTTCTCTTGTATATGTGGTGGATAATAGTTTTCAGATTATTGATTCATAATATTGTGATTTGGGTTCATTTTTATTTCATGATGCCTAAATATTTTTAATACAGTTTATAATTGAACGGTTAATTTTGTGTTCACGGCTTAAATTGTACATTTTGAGTTTTTTATTCTTAATTCTTGAATTCTCGCTTTTGCTTTTGGTTACTTAATCATGTGTAACTGATTATTTATTATTGCTTTTTTAATTATTGATTTTGTTTACGCTGTGGTTTTGATTCTTATTTTTTGTTTGTTTCTGTGTCTTAATTCTGTTTAATTTTTTTATATTCTTAGTCCTGTTTTCGCGCGAGCAGAGCCTTAGAGAGAGAGAGAGAGAGAAAGAGAGAGAGAGAGAGAGAGAGAATGAAGGAGTGAATCTCATTCTGCCCCTCATTAATGCTCCGCGCGCTCAAGGTGGCAAGAGCCCAGAATGCGGATTAGGGACCCGGATGAGAATGACCAGCTGCTCACCTGCAGCTCACGTGCTTAATCATAAGATTATTGATGATTAGATCATTACGGATCATTAATGTTTACATTATTGACGCTGTATTTTTTCTAAGGCCCATTAAACATCACTTTAATCACCCCCTCATTATAATATTCATATTTCATTATAGTCTCTTACTTTCATCTTTACATTTTCTCGCTCTTGTTTTTTTCTTTCTTTCTTTCTTTCTTTCTTTCTTTCTTTCTTTCCGGTTATTAAAATAATCAAATGTAAATATAAACAGCTTTACTGATCCGCGCGTGCTTCCATTAGCGTGTTGGAGCACCCTACTTTGCAAATAAATTGTTTAAAAAATTCTCCCGGGAAATTTCGCATTGATTTGTCTTGATCTCTCCGATTCAAACTGTGCTCACTTTTGTGGCAATTTAAAAAAAAATGTTAAATAAATAACCACATTAAAAACATAATTTGTGGCAAAGCGTATTTAATCATTTTTTAATCATCTCCAATTAACATGCGTCATCAGAATGGATTAATTTCACGTTATCAATACATTTAAAACTATTTCTTTCAAATCACAACGTTGGGGTCTGAAGTTAAACGCGGCACGAACCTTCACGAGCTGCATTCAGTTGCTCGTCGTTGCGATGTGTAATTTTTATTTTGTTGAAATTGCGCCTTTTTTGAATAATTCAATTAACGCAATTAGAGCGAGTGTGAACGCATTTTTAACAGAGCAGAACTTTAACTCACACAAACACACGAATACTGACACACACACATGCACTCGCACACACACGCGCGCGCGTCCATATTCACACGCACGCGCGCACACACACGGTCACACACGCCCACGAGCTCGTGAGGGAGGAAAACGCGCCACTCCGAGAGAAGCAGCAG